TTTGTTTGTTTGTTTTACTCAATACAACCTGAGTGGTCCAAAATGGCTGTCTTCAGACTGGACAGTCTGAGAACCCAGAATCCAGTCAGTAATGCTGTATGGCAGTCCCAATTTGGCAATGAAGGTCTGGAGGATTTTTGGAGATCCATGTAGACTTATTGGCTGTTAGGGGATCTGAAGAAACTGGATTATGATGCCAATGAGGAGGACTGGCAGGGGCAAAGTGGAGAAACTCTCCAACATGATATAAGGGAAGCTGCCACAAAGCAGAAGAGACCTCTCTGTAGCCTCCTCATATCTAGCCCACATCTAGAAAGCACCACTCTCAGTCAGCATGGACCTTCCCATTTCAGTAAATGTAACCAAGAAAATCCCTCACAGTCATGTCCAAAAGCTTGCCTCTTAGTTTACTCTAAATACAGTCAAATTGACAACAAATATTAACCTTAGAGTACAGTGCCGACCTCAGCATTATCTAGCTGTGGTTCTGTATTCAGATATATCCTAGATATTCTATACTAATAGTATAAATTGCCACATCCAGCATGGCTTGGTCTTGGAAACTTCACTGTGATGATGTGAGAATGAAGAAATTATGGACACTGAAGAAACAGGAAACGCATATAGAAAAGCTGAGATTGGGTGAACTATGCTGAAATGAGCTGTGCTAGCTCTGTTAAAGGACACTTTTTTGCCTCACTCAGAGAGTTTATCCTGTATAGCACAAGGAGGAGTTAGCTAGTTTTGATGGGTGGTCTATTTAGGGAATAGTCTCAGGTTATAGTGGTCTAGAAGTAGAAAGCTGACATTGCCAGTTTTTTTTTTTTAACACATTTTCAGTATTCCCTACATGAACAAGAGAAGGGCTTTGCTGATTCCTGGAATCTAACCTGGGAAGGGTTTCACCATTCCCATGAGTCTGAAGTATTGGCATCCTTGGCATGGCTGTGCTTATGTCAACAATACATTCACTTAGAATTTCATCGTTTCTCATGGTATAACTATCAGAAACATTTTTAATTTTTTATTACAAATTATTCAATTTGTATCCCAGCTGTAGCCCCTCCATAGTCCCCTTCTAATTTCCCCCTCCCTCTTCATCTCCTATTCCCCTTCCCCAGTCCACTGATAGGGGAGGTCCTCCTCCCTTTTCATCTGACACTAGCCTATTAGATCTCATCAGGACTGTCTGCATTGTCTTCCTCTGTAGCCTGGTAAGGCTGCTCCCCCATCAGAGAGAGGTGATCAAAGAGCTAGCCACTGAGTTCATGTCAGAGACACTCTGTTCCCCTTACTAGGGAACCCACTTGGAGACCAATCTTCCATGGGCTACATCTGAGCAAGGGGTCTAAGTTTTCTTCATGAATAGTTCGTGGTTAGAATATCAGTCTCAGAAAAGACCCCTGGGCCCAGATTTTTTGGTTCTGTTGCTCTCCTTGTGGAGATCCAGTCCCCTCCATGTCTTTCTATCTCCTACTTCTTTCATAAGGTTACCTGCACTATGCCCAAAGTTTAGCTATGGGTCTCAGCATCTGCTTTAATACCCTGCAGGGTAGAGTCTTTCAGAGGACCTCTGTGGTAGGCTCCAGTCCTGGTCCCGGTTTTCTCCTTCTTCCAATATCTATCTCACTTTCCTTTCTGAATGAAGATTGAGCATTTACTTCTTGCTTAGCTTCTTTAGGTGTACAGATTTTAGTAAGATTATCCTATATTATATGTTTAATATCCACTTATAAGTGAGTATATACCATGTGTGTCTTTCTGCTTCTGGGATACCTCACTCAGGATGATCTTTTCTAGATCCATCCATTTACCTGCAAATTTCATGATTTCCTTGTTTTTAATTGCTGAGTAGTATTCTGTTGTATAAATATACCACAATTTCTGTATGGATTCAACTGAGGGATATCTGGGTTGTTTCCAGATTCTGGCTATTAGGAATAAAGCTGCTACAAACATGGCAGAGAAAATGTCCTTGTTGTAAATGTGAGCATCTTTTGGAGATATGTCTAGAATGGTATAGCTGGATCTTGAGGTAGCACTACTCCTCATTGTCTGAGAAAGCAACAGATTGATTTCCATAGCAGTTGTACAAGTTTACATTCCTACCAGCAATGGAGGAGGATTCACCTTCCTCCACATCCTCTCTAGCATGTGTTGTCACTTGAGGGTTTTGATCTTAGCCATTCTAATGGTGTAAGGTGAAATCTCAGGGTGGTTTTGAGTTGCATTTTCCTGATGACTAAGGACGTTGAACATTTCTTTATTTGTCTCTCTGTGATTCAGTATTCCTCTATTGAGAATTCTCTGTTTAGCTCTGTACCCCATTTTTAAATTTGATCATTTGGCTTGTTGGTGTTTAACTTCTTGAGTTCTTTATATATTCTGGATATTAGCCCTCTGTCAGATATAGGGTTGGTAAAGACCTTTCCCAGTCTGTAGACTGTCATTTTGTTATGATGAGAGTGCCCTTGCTTTACAGAAGCTTTTCAGTTTCATGAGTTCCAATTTATTGCTTATTGATCTTAGGACTTATGCTATTGGTGTTCTGTTCAGGTGTCTGTACAGGTATCTCCTGTGCCAATGAGGTCAAGGCTTTTGCCAGCTTTTTCTTCTAAAAGCTTTAATGTGTCTGGTTTTATACTGAGGTCTTCGATCTACTTGGACTTTAGTTTTGTGCAGGGTGATAAATATGGATCTATTTGCATCTCTCTACATGTAGATAACTAGTTATACCAGCATCATTTGTTGAAGATGCTATCTTTTTTCCATTGTATGGTTTTGGCACCTTTGTAAAAAATCAGGTGTCCATAGATGTGTGGGTTTATTTCTGGGTCTTCTATTCGATTCCATTGATCTACCCTTCTGTTTCTATGCCATTAACATGCATTTTTTTATTACTGTTTCTCTATAGTACAGCTTGAAATCAGGGATGGAAATACCTCCATAAGATCTTTTCTTGTAGAGCATTATTTTCGCTGTTCTAGGTTTCTTGTTATTCCATATGAAGTTGAGAAATTTTCTTTCAAGGTCTGTGAAGAATTGTGTTGGAAGTTTTATGGGAATTTCATTGAATCTGTAGATTGGTAAAATGGATGTTTTTATTATGTTAATCATGTCAATCCATGAACATGGGAAGTCTTTCCATCTTCTGATATCTTCTATTTCTTTCTTCAGAGACTTGAAGTTTTATTCATACAGGTCTTTGACTCGCTTGATTAGAGTCACACCAAGGTACTTTGTGTTATTAATAGCTACTGTGAAGGGTGTTGTTTCCCTAATTTCTTTCTTAGCCCAATTGTCTTTTGTATACAGGAGGCCTACTGATTTTTTTTTTGTGTGTGTGTGTGTGTGTGTGTGTGTGTGTGTGTTAATTCTGTATCTAGCCACTTTGTTTAAGTTGTTTGTTAGCTATAGGCGTTCCCTGGTAGAATTTTTTGGGATCACTTATGTATACTGTCTGCAAATATTGATTCTTTGCCTTCTTCCTGTTCGAACTGAATCCAATTAATCTCCTGTATTTATCCTATTGCTATCCAGCAAGGACTTCAAGAACTATGTTGAAGAGACTTGGAAAGAGTGGGCAGCCTTGCCTTGTCCCTGATTTCAGTGGGATTGATTTACGTTTTTCTCCCTTTAATTTGATGATGGCTATAGGCTTATTGTATGTTGCCTTTACTATGTTTAGGTAAGTGTCTTGTATCCCTGATCTATCTAGGATAGTTTTATTTAAATTTAAAATTTTTAATATGAATTAAGTTTATTCACTTTTTATCCCAGCTGTAGGTCCCTCCAAAATTCCCTCCCAATCTCTAGGACTTAAAACATAAATGAGTGTTGGATTTTATCAAATGGTTTTTCAGCATCTAAGAAGATTATCATGTGTTTTTTTATTTTAATTTGTTTATATGATAGATTATGTTGATGGATTTCCATATATTGAAACATCCCTGAATGCCTGGAATGAAGCCTATTTGGTCATAGTGGATCATATCTTTGATGTGTTCTTGGATTCGTTTGCAAGAATTTTGTTTAGTATTTTTTTTTCTTTAGTATTTTTGCATCAATGTTCATAAGGGAGACTGGTCTGAACTTCTTTTTCTTTGTTGGGTCTTGGTGATATTTAGGTATCAAGGTGACTGTGGCTTCATAGAATTAGTTTGGTAACGTTTCTTCTGTTTCCATTTTGTGGAATAGTTTGAACAGTATTGGTGTTAGTTCTTCTTTAAAGGTCTGGTAGAATTCTGCACTGAAACCATCTGGCTCTGGGCTTTTTTTGGATGGGAGACTTTTGATGACAACTTCTATTTCCTTAGGGGATATAGGACTATTTATTTGATTTACCTGGTCTTGATTCAGCTTTGGTAAGTGGAATCAATCAAAAAATTGTCCACTTTATTTAGATTTTTAAATTTTGTGGTATATAGGCTTTTTTAATAAGACCTAATGGTAGTTCGTATTTCCTTGGTGTCTGTTGTTATGTCCCCCTTTTCATTTCTGATTTTGCTGAAATGGATAGTTTCTCTCTGCCTTTTTGTTAGTTTGTCTAAGGGTTTGTCTATTTTGTTATTTTTTTCAAAGATCCATCTCTTGGTCTCATTGATTCTTTGAATTGTATTCTTTGTTTCTAAATTTGATTGTTTCTAATCATCTTTTCCTCTTAGGTGTGTCTGCTTCT